GAATGAATAAAAGTTTAATAAGTGTAATTAAATGTAAAAATTATTACTCTCAGCCTAACGTGCTATTAAAAACCCACTGAAATATATCAAAGTGTTTTCCTTTATCATACACTACTTCAATATATGTATTGTATTTATGGTGTGATTTTAAAGTGTAATAATGTGTTTTACTACTTTTGCTTCACGGTTTCCTCTTAGGTCTCATGGCAGAGGACCCAACAGCGACATATTATCGACTGAAAAACAGCTCAGTGTGTCTGAATGTCAGGAAACCGCCACCATATAAACGTGGTGAATGGAAATTTAACACAATAATTATTGCTGATGATACAGAAATCAATCCAAATTACACAGACAGAGTGGTTTATACTGCTGGGAACCTCTCCCTATGTATTAATAACTTGGCTGATACAGACACTGGCATATATGAACTCTCATACCGCCTTAACTTTGCTTTAGTGTCAGAGAAACATAATGTAATTGTTCAAGGTAAGTTATAAGCAGAACTTTGTCTTTAGCCTTTAGCCATGAATCTGTTTTACATATTATATTTTTCTGGATTTAGTATCATTTGTCTTACTAAATTTAAAATTCTAATTTTTTTTAAAGCTTTTAAATTTACTTGTGACTGAAAGAAAAACAGAATCTGTTCTTGTCTTTAACCACAACATCATATATCCTACAATTTTAGAATCATCCAGTTCATTATTAGTTCTCGTTTTTGCATTAAATCATTAATTTATCTGTTTGGCTCGATGTTGCAGATGTGGTTCCCAGACCTGTCATTATAATGTCAAAGCTTGGCTCCAACCAGTCTGCTGGACGCTGCAATATCACAGTAAACTGCTCCATCCAGGATTATTGGCTTTGGTCTCTTTGTGATAAAGACGGCTGCAGAAGATCACAGAAATCATTCAGTGAGGTCAACATCACCATCTTCACTGAGAACAGAGCTGTGGTCTGCAGAGGCAACAACCATGTTAGCACAAATAAAGCTTCTGAAAACTTAACACTGTGTAAGTATTAAATATTAATTATAAATAACATGCTGTTGATTCTTTTCACATTAAATAAAATGCAATATTTTCTTCCACCTTTCTTGATATTTCCCCTGTTATTTATATATGTACAGTGTTGTTTCTTGTCATAAAATTTTTAATTTTTTAATGTATGAAAAGAAAAATATTGCTCAATAAAGTTGTGTTTTTGTGTCTGCAGGTTTCAATGACTCTAATCCTGATAATAGAGAGAAAACACCACAGCCTACATCAACGAGAACACTTGCATTTATTATTGTTTGTGTTTTACTCGCCTGCGTCTTCATACCAGTTTCTTTCTTTTTAGTTAAAAGATTATTTTCAACAAAATGGAAATCCTACCAGGTAAGCTGCATTCACTAACAGATTTATATCTGTTTATATTATATAACTTGTGCAGTGGTGTGTCATAATGTGACTGAATATTTAACTTCATTATTTACAGGCTCCAACAAATACTATCCGCTCAATACAAAGCCAGCCCATTAGTACTCTGCCATCATCTCAGTCTAGAGCCTCTACTGCGTCTTCATCAAGTGATGCTGACCCTGCTTATGAGAACGCAGACATCCTTCAGTACAGCCAGACCAGCAGCCCAAGACAGGAAAGCCACACAGTAGATACCATCTACACTCTTCCAGGAGTGAAAGCCTCTTCTGCTGGCAACAACACACAAAATACTTCAGAGACTGCCACAGTGGAGGAGGCACAACAACGGCCCACACAGGTCGACACAGTTTACAGCGTGTTGCAGAAACCAAAAAATCTGAATGTATAGCACCACCCAGAGGTCAAACGGGACTTTTGAACAGTGGGAAACAAAAGAAAACGAGAGAACAGAAACTGTACAAAGAGAGTGAACATTTTGTATATCACACAAATATTCCAAAAATGACTAAAGCGCTAAAACAAATAAAAGTTTCATTTAGTTAGTGGACACTGGACAATACTTTTTGAAAATGAAAATAACACTGTATATATTGTTGTTGGGTTGTTTTTTTTTTTACGTTTATGCAAATCGGGGCTGTACGAAGTCACTGTCATCTTTACGACTGTAAGCTGTCGTCTGTGAGGCATGTTTGTTTTTAACATAGTTCACGGTGGAGAACAGCTGCTCACATACATATATGGATCCGAAGATCAACAATCCACAAATTAGGCATGCTGGTAGGCTGCTCTTGTCAGAACTAAATGCAAATGACTATGCCCATTAAATGTTTTATTTTCTTCAGATATTTTTATTTTCTTAAATTACTTCATACTTGGCCTACCTGGGGCTGAAAGTCTCGATAAATGCACAGCTTTTGGTGGGTATATACTGGCTTCCACGAGTGTGATGCTTATTTTGAGTGATGCAAAATAATAAAATATAATGTTATTTTAATATTTCAAGATCACAATAATCTTCCAGTTTAGAACTATAAGTTAAAAAAAAGAACTAACACAAATATAATACACTTCAACTAAATACTTATAATTTATTTTCCCAAGCCATGGGGAGCCACAGTATAAAGATAAAAGAGCCACAGGACAACTATCACACTTTACAGTACAACATAGATTCTCTGCAGGGTTCAGTGCAGGTGAGTTGGCTGGCCAAACACAGTAATAATATGATCAGCAAACCATTTGTTAGTAGGTCTGGCACTGTGAGCAGGTGCTAAGTACAGCCATAAAGCCAGTAGTTGGTAGACAAGTCAGGTGCATTGACTCTGGACTTAATAAAAGACAGTAGGACAATGACAAGCAGATGGTATGGCACCCCAAATCAACACATGCAGAAGTGTCACACTGGATTTCAGTCATCACAGATTTTGTGGGTCTTCACTCATTCTGCCAAAAGTCGACCTCCATAGTCTAGGGTCTTAATATCTTATGCAACCAAGGCTCAAGGCTGGTTGGAGAAGCAGCAGGGCATCAGTCATCGCTGTTACTTGTGCACATTTTCTTTTTACAATTTTGTCTTCCAGTCAACCTTTTATGAATTGGTACAGTCTTCTGAACACTCAGCCTTTCAGGAATAACCTTATATGGCAAGCCCTGGTAAATATGGAGTTTTGCGTCAGGAAGGGCGTTCAATGGAAAATCTTTGCAAATCAAACATGCAGATCGTCAAGAATGAGATTTCCTTGACGGACCACCTTCGGTGCAGTTGGCCAACAGGGTTTTGGTCATAACTGTCCTACTGTTAGTGGAAGAGAAAGGAAAAGGAAAAAAGGAGAATGTGTTTGGAGGCAGTGAGGCTTTTCTTATATTTGATCACAAGGTGATAATCCTGTCCCAACAACACCCAGCACATTAGTTGCTGGTTCTGGTTGTACATCCGGTCAAAAAAACAAGACAAACTGGATAGAACCGAATAGTTCAGTATTACAGTGACTTTTGCCTCCACTGAACAAACCTGTCCAAAATCAACCTGCTTAGCCAGATATGTAACTATTGCTTTACCAATCTCACATTTGGCATAATTAAGGGTTAAGGAGGCTTGAGTTAGCCACTGAAACACTGGTTCTAGGATGACTATGCGATCCGCCCAAGCATCTGTGTAGATCACCACATCATCAGATGCACATACCAGATGTATTAAATGCTGAAATGTAGCAGGAGAGTTTTTCATGCCAAATGCTATCACAGTTTACTGCATAAAATTATCAGGAGTGACAAATGCAGAAATGTTACAGGCTGCGAGGGTCATGGTAACCTGCCAGTAATCTCTAGCGGATCCAACTTAATGATTAATTTGGCAGGACCCATACTGGCAATGCAGTCCTCTATACGAGGGAGTGGGAATGAATCAGAGACAGTTACAGCAATGACTTTAGTAGCTAATGATAAGACTAACAAGTGCCTCACCAGTACCAGGAGGTACTTTAGATTCAGCATCTGGCTCAACAATGCTTGGGAGCTGATCTAAAACACCTGTCTTGCATGCTTAATCATCCAGGTAAGTAAATCCCAAAAGATTGATTCTGTTCTTCTGGACCTCACAGCCCACTGAATGAACAATGGGCTGTGAGGTCAGTTCCTTGATCATTAATATGCAAATTGTCATGACCATTGATCAACAACCACTGATCAAAAGGAATGTCTGCAATCACAGCATTGTAAGATGGTGAAGATGGCAATCCCCAACTTTTTGTGAATGGTCATTGAGTGGTTGTTGAACAGTGGTCACTGATCTCACAGCCCATTGTTCACTCAGTGGGCTGGTTTTAGTTATTGTGCAAATGTACTGTTTATAAGGTTGGGGAAACTTGCAGTCAGCTGAGATGGCAAAAGTCACTTGGATGAGTGATGAAACATTTCTCATATTGCAAACGTGACATCCAGATTAACAGAATATCAGGATATCAGATTCAGGCTCCAAACTTGGGGTTTCAGTGACCTGAGGGGCAGGCTAAACCTTCTCTCTTGCTATATCGTTCACCAAAATAAAATCTACCCCACTAATGGGAAAACATGGGCACACAGCCAAAGATGCTGCGGTTAGAAAATCCCCCGCCGCCCCGCCCCCTCCTCCCTGTGTCACAAGAAGCAGGCGCTCCTCGCAAACGAAGGGCGCCCTTACTCCCAGCAAATGGGCGATAGAAAACCA